AGCTGCAAAATTTTTATTCTCTCCCAGAAACAAACTTCATAAGTTATTCCTTAAGCTATCAACGTTTACGTCACAAATACAGATTCCTACACAGTAGCTAAGTCATCAGATATCAGTGTGCTGTTGTGCACAGTGTTATCTAACAATATTAAACGCTAACGCAGCATATTCTAACAACTAGTGTAAATTCATCTTGTTAAATCATACTTCTAGTTTCGACGTGTAACACAACAGCCCAGCACTCCACTCATTATACCGGGTTATTAAAGCTGGGGAAAAATGAAGCGTTACCACTTTAATCTCAAAATTTACACAAGAAAATCATGTGTATAATGTATGAAACTGACGGGGAGACTGCACTTATCTATTGACTCGACAAAGAAGGAAATTCTGTTAAAATGGTCATTTCATGATTCAAGTATGAGTTATGATTAGAAAGTTACATGATAATATAAAAGGTAGTTAGATGTTTGAAACATCTACTGAAAGGTTTGAATGTGTTTTCTATGTTCCACTACGCCAGGGTCAAGTCTATAAATGTGAATTATTTTGAGAATTTATGAGATAACTAGAGATTACAAATTTATGTTAAAATGATAATCTAAAGCTAAAGTAATAAAAAACCAAATCTTAAGCTCACGGGAAAAAAACAAATGTAGCATTCACTCGGGTGAGTGAAAACTTGATTATGAAAGAAGATATGTATTTTAATTCAAGTTGTGTAATGTAAAACTCCATCATAATACATATCAAAAGAAAGCTAAGACCTGAAGTAAGCTTAAAACTGATCATTATGTATGAAGGTCGAGGATAAAGTAAAACTGTTTGCTTGATGTAACATTGTTTGTAAGGAAATGTGTTCATTTATTTTTAAAATATATTCTTAAACTTTTCAGGTTTAATGTAAATTATCTCAGAACCTAAGTTCAACTTTAAAGTTGGGATTTGGACCAATCCTTCACATTAGAGTTCATTTAAACAAACGATATTATCTGTGGTGATAAAGAACCTTAGTTGTTTAAAAATTATAAAATATTGTGTATTTATTGCTTATAATGGAACTACTGATGTCTTGCCTAGAATGAATTATCCCTGTATTCAGAAATGACTATAAATGGCGCGAATTGCTGAGATGATACACTGTTAAAATAAAGTATTTTGAAGAAGAAAAAAAAAACGTCAGTAACTAAGCTGCCACAATCGAAGTAATTTTGAAACATTACATTGTAAAGTTTGGAAACACCTCATTAGAACTTCGAGGTCCTATTCCTGGTGTGTTAATATATCAAGACACAACATTTTAAGCATCCCATACTATACAATAGGTTGATTTTGTGGCTTGGAAAAGACTTGCCTAAACCAAGATCTCAATTTGAAATAAAAGTTGAACTGTAAAAAAAGTAAAAACATGTAGTTATACTTGCTGATATTGTATAAAGTTTTGAAACGTTTAGATTTTTTTGTTTTATTTTCTTTATAATACATCTTAAAAATGATGTGTCCTATGATAACTATATTTCACTAGAAAGCTTTTGAGAATTACAAGTCTTATGTATGAAAATAGATATACCCTGTAGGGTGTTTTAAGAAAAAAGCTGTCACAAAACGTGTTCAGGGTGCTTTCCGTCGTTCTCGAAGTAGTATATCAAGCTTATCCCTTAACAAAGAGCGTTTTTGGGAAGGAAATTATCTATTATATATTATAATTTTACAAAAATTGAGTTTCGAAAACATCTTAGTAAAAGTCAATAATACAAAAATTAAAAAATTAACTATCGTTAAAAAATGACTAAAACGAAGTAAAAAATGACCGCTTTTTTGATATGTACTAACTTCAACAGTAAAATTTCAAATTTTACTGAATTGTTTGTTTATGGTTAACCACAAATCTGCACAGTAGGATATCTGTGATGTGCTCACCGAAAGGTCTAACCCAGAATTTTCGCATTATAACCTAAAACTTACTGCTAGGGTTATTGGAATGACGTGCAAAAGGGTTGGATGAGTGGAATCAAGCCCTCTACTTTCCATTTCTTATGCCCTGCCCTTTTTTTCAGTCATAAAAATTGTCCACAACTACTGAAAGATATGACTGATTCTACACTTTCCTTGCTGCGAGTTAAAAATGAATGATGCCCAAGTTGGTCTTTAAAGTAAAGTAAAATAAAATGATTGTGATATGCTATTAAATGTTAATAAATGGTTTAGCTTCACATTTTAAGTATTTATAAGACCGATTAAATAGAAATAAAAAAGATTTGTTTGCTTCTCATAGCTTTCTACCTTATGTGTATCATAGTCTCCCTTACGATGATTGAAAAGTGCCCTTTGTTTGTCAATGAGCCCCTGCCATTTTTATCCTCTGCACGTTACTGAGTGCTTCGAAGGCGATTTTTTTTAATTCGAAAAATTTGAAAATGAAAGGTGTGAAAGTTTAGTACTTTAAAATACGCTTTCTTTGATCCATGTATAGTCACAGACTAGAAACCGGATTTTGTTTTCTCTTAACACTTTCATAGTTTTTAAAACTGTTCCTTAGTTAATACTAAAATTAGCCCTAGCTAGTAAGTGTTTTACCACAATTAAGGATAGTTTCTAATCATAATCCAATTAATTCAACATCGAACATTATCATTTTGATGAGTCCTTACAATTGATTACTAACGTGGAGACATCTTGTTTCAGGTGTTGTTGTCAGCGTTCCAAATAACGAACTTCAAACCATATTGTATTTTCGAAATGAATTAAATTCAAATCAGCCAACATTCCAGTCAGAAACGTTTCTGAAAAGTAACAGCTATAGTTTATTTTTTACTTAATTATTCGCTTTCTTATTTGAATATCTAGCTGTGAGCAAAAGATCTTGATAATTAAAATATATCTAACTAAAGAAAATTAGCAGCTGCTTGCATAAGATTAGGTTCATATCATCGTGATATTTAAAAAAAACTGTCTCCAGTGCTACTGACAATATAGAATTAAGCGAGACAATTTATCAAACATCCTTTTCATTTTATCGTTAAAATGTAAACTGCATGATGTATCTGATTAGCAAAACTACAAACGCCTTTGTTGAATTTTATATACTGTCATGAATTTCTTTTCTTACCCCGTGTTTTAGTCACATTACATATAATAATCAATATTACCGATATGTACTTAATATTTAAATTTATTATAGCTTGCTTGAATTTTAATGGCCTTATTTTTTTCTGGTTTTATTTTATTTTTATTTTTTTTAATTTCGAGCAACTCGGCTCAAAACAAAAAGCGTCACACATCTATTTATACAAAAAAATCTACAAATCTTGAGCCGCCTTCTCTGTGTGATTTG